AATTAGACTGTGGGCGTGGCACAGCCCATTTTTAAGTGAAAACCCATATCTTGAGATCTGCTCAACCGATTTCAACCAAATTCGGTGCATAACGTTCTTTTCATGTTTCTATGTCATAGTGCGAAAATGGGCGAAATCGGACTACAACCACGCTTATTTCCCATGTAACACCATTTTCAATTCCATCTGATTCTTTCACTTTCCACTATGCAAATCAGGTAACAATGATTATATCGGGGTAAAACTTTGCGTGAATAATGCAATTAAAGTATGCCACCCTGCGGCCAAAAATTGTCTAAATCGAACCAAAACTGTTCAAGCCCCTAAGTACTAAATATGTGGACCCCAGTGCCTATAGTTGACCTTCTACCGAAAATATCAGTCAATCCACAAAGAAATCTCAAACGAGTATACCATTTGACCTTGCGAGAGTATAAAATGTTCGGTTACATCCGAACTTAGCCCTTCCTTACTTGTTTCTTTTAATTCATTCGAAATTTGTTATAGACACATTTGGTTGATTAATAATATCATCTAAATTAAATGAGGAAGACTTATTAAGCGTGAGATACACATGAGCTTCTAGCCTCATACCTCGCCGTACACTTTAAATTAGGGAAACTAATGCTCAAATCTTGTTAGGGAAGGTGACTCTAACCAACTTTAAATAAATTTCTATAAGCATATCTGAATATTTTTCGCTTACGAAATATACAGAACTACTGTTGAAATTTGCCATTACGACAAGTGTGTATTATTGAAAACACGTCTGAATAAGTCTAGGTCAATAATCCATAACTGTGTCTTGATTTTAGTGTAATTAAAAAATAAATCTTCTATACCTCTATTTTGTGCTTTATTATTCGAAATATATATTGTAATATAACATTTCTAATTGCTTATATAAATTATATAAATAATGTTTTCACATATATAATATAATATATGTACATGGTTATGAATGAATTTGTCTCTGCTTCGCTTGTTGCATGCAACACTGCACATACACGAGTGAGCTAATCGCCTCCCATTGAGAAAACCGAAATCCTGCGCATGCAATGAGTGCGCGAAACACGAAGCGTATTCATTCATTAAGCTCTTTGTGGCGCCAAGCGTACACATCCATATATATTTCATGCACGTAGGACCACACAGTAACCAACCAGTCGGTTCACTCAGGAAGCGATGAAAAAGAGTTGGAGCCACCAGTTGCTAGGCTACGCTGAATTCGCCACAACTGCAGTTAAGTTTGCTATGAAAGCAAAAAAATAAAAGTAAATTTGCACTTCATGCAATGCCATGCCATTCATTCGTTCATTGATGTTTAATGCTGGTGGTGTGCGAAACCAGTTTATCCATTCATAGCTGAGCTGGTCGTCGGTGCTCGCACGAAGCGAACGGTGCGAATGACGAGAACAAACCATTCAACGACTTGACTTAATAATCTACCGTTCATTCATGTTAAGCTTTCGCCGATACGTCGGACATAACAGGATTTACTATGATGTGGTGAAACATACATAGTACATACAGACACAATTGTCTGGGCGTCTAGTTGACTTGTGCGCTCATTGATTGCTGACTGGCGTTCGCTGCTTAGAACAGTAGCCAGTTGTTGGCCAATATTTCTAGTGGTTTTTACTGTTATCACGTGATTCACTGGCAACATTTTTCATATGTTTTTATTGCATGCATGTTTCTTGTTAATGGTTTCGATACCTCAAAGTCATCTTCGTTGTTACACTGCCAGTCGATATCACTGTACGAGTAGATTTCCGTTGCTTGTGACGCCGCCGCGCTCCAGTAAAAGTGACCAGCTTCGGTATGCAGGCAGATGACATGCGATTCCGTATCCTCTGTGTAGGCGTCGGCTCCGTGCAACACTGTGGCGGCATGTTGCAATAGCCATTCATTGGCGGCGTTTTCGATCATTTCATTGGTGAGTTGGTCCGCTAAATTACATAACTCACTATTAATATTGTTGTTATTTTCTGATTCACAATTGTTGTTGTTGTATTCACTATATTTTTCATTGTACGCTTGCTTCGCCTTGCCGATTTTGAAAAGTTGGCGCATGCGCCAAGCCAAAACTTTTAGCTTGCACAATATTGGCGCGCGTTTCTCCTTTGGGGTATGCATCTCAAATAACGGTAAAAATAAGTTTGATAAACAAAATAACGTTACTATACAATTTTCCAGACTAAACTTGCGTTGTTCTCAGTTTGCTTGCGTTGCGTTGAGTGCGCGTTTGTCCAAAAGTCGCGCGGTTTTTATAGCCCGCACAGCTTCAAGTTGCGTTGCAGCCGCGCGCGTATGCCAACCCTCCCTGCGAAAGGGCTAAGCAAAGCGCTTGCCAATCAACGCACTGTAGAAGGACAATCAAGCGAACAAGTGCGAGCCACATGTGTTTTGCGCGCGTCGTAATATTGCTGTTGTTGCTTGCACGTGCTGGGCGCGCGGCAGCAATATGAGTGAGTGCATCATCACAGCAAGCAGTAAAAATGAAAACAATGAAATAAATAAGTTAAAACAACAAAATTTTACAACAATAAAGCAGCAACCGCAGCACTTGTCGCCGCGGCAAGCAAACAGGCGCACTCATCCCCTTTTTGTTGCATTATATTTGTGGTTAACGGGCAACGCATTGAACTTGTTATGGCAGTTGCAGTTCCCAGCATAAGGGCTGCACGGTCGGTGGAATTTCGAAAAAGTATCCCACGGTTTTTGGCATAATCTATATATGTACGTATGCATGCGCTGCAAATGGCAGCTGTTTGCAATTTGGCACCGATCACAACGTACGATGGTCGCAAAAAAGGTGGAAGAGGGCGACAATAAGCAAAGGATATGCGCTACAACACGCTCGCCGCGTTAGGGGTGACAACATTTTTTATGTGAGAATTGAACTTTATGCAAATATTTATAAATATAAATGTGTATACGAGTGTTGCAGTGTGGCGGCACTTGTTGTTGTTGATGCTTTTTTGATTTGCTGCTTGCCCTCGATTAAAGTGTGGGAAAGTGCAAAGCAGAAATATGCTAGCTTTATCATATGTAAGAAAGATGATATAAGAATGACACGCATACTTGTACAAAATTATTTCTTAAGCGCCCAACAGCTCTGCTTTAAAAGCGCCGACCAACTGATAGTTATAGCCAAACATTGAATTGCTGTCATTCAGCCAGCAAATGTGAATGCAACGTGCATTCCAAACAATCATAAATTACTTCAATAACATTTGAAACATATAACTGCAACTTACTCATTAAAAAAGTCTCATTTCCACCGTCTTCATGCAAACGGCATAGCACGCGCCAAAATCGCCATATCCTCTTGACACTCTAACGACCAGGTGCATGCGCAGACGTACGCCTGCCTGTCAAGTCAGCGCCTAGCTGGGCAAGCACTTGGAGCACGTGCGCGCCACGTTTCGTTTTATAACACGTGATGCTGGACGTTGGGCGGCATGCCGCAGGCCCACAACCACTTAATCTCAAGCCAAAACTAGTTTTGTTGGGCGCGTGCTATTGAGTGCGCCTTTTGGTGCGAGTTAAGCTGCCGCCCCTCACTGACTATACAAATGAAAGCAAAATTGCATTTCCATTCAATATATTACATACATATTAGTATACCACATTATTTTTACTGTTATTAATATATTTATGTATGCGCTTGTGCTTCGGTTAAGTGCGTTTATTCATAATTTTCACGTCACGTGTCGGTCGTGTGTGTAGACCTTTTTGAACTTATTTGTGGCAATTGCTCATGCTGACTCTGACTGTGTGCCGCTAGCTGTGGTCAGGCTGCAATTGCTGGGTGGTAAAGTGCCAAATTTAATGTTTCTTTCATTGCTTTCGTTTATGTTTGAATATTAATTTTCCATTTAAGTATAGAAGCATAATGATCTTCACAAGTGTTACACTTGCTTTTTGTGTTGGTTTAATAGAAATAATGTTTTTATATAGAAATAGAGTCCAATTTGACTGAATTTTTACATATGACCCTATATCACACAGACATTAATGTTTGTAGAGAAAAAACTTTTTTCTAATAAATTTTGATTTTATTATTCAACATAGCTATCGTCGAGGTGTGAGAAAATGAAAGCATGGCTGGGGGGCAGATCCAAGGAATATGGTAGATGCGGAAGCGATTAGAAGAACAATTCATGCGATTTTGACATTTTTATTGATTTTTTCTTCAATTGGAACATATTTCTGAGTATTCATGCTCCTCAAATAACGCTGTATAATAGGCGCAGTCGATGGTACACCCTTTTCCAGATAGTCGATAAACATTATTCCATGCGCATCGCAAAAAATCGACTCGATTATTTGTAAGCTCTCTGTTGCGTCTATCAACGCTTTACATTTGGTTCAACGCGTTTAGTCCGTTCGGATGACTGAATTAGGATTAGAATCTAACAGAGGTAGGCACCAATGCGATCTTTGGTCTATTGTGCTCTGCTCGGCTGATTATCGAATGGATTTCGTAGAAAATTGATGCTGTTATGCTTCCTGCATTGCCATATAGCGACGTAAAAAATCGGTTTTATTACGATTGGTACTTCTGCAAACAGTGCTCAAAATCATCAGTTCATTGTCGCTTTTGGTCGATTGTGAGCTCGTGCGGCAACCACTTGACGCAGGGCTTTTAGCACACTCAAACACATAAGAAATATTGAAGAAATTCAGAAAGAAAGTCTATCCTCTTGTCTTAATTGGATGATGCCACTGCGATACTTTCCCTAAATAAAGTTTTGCCAACACCTGAAGGTGTTTCCCAGGCTTTGATCCTTGCAAGTTGCGAGAGTATAAAATGTTCGGTTACACCCGAACTTAGCCCTTCCTTACTTATTTAGTATATACTTTTCATATTTTAAAACTTCCTTAAATGTTATATTAATTTACTATGTTAATAGGACTTCTTTATATTTACTGTTTCTGTTCAAATCAAGTTTTAATATTAATGAATCTACAATATATTTCTTTTTTTCCAGCCGCAAATCAAATTCATCTGTTGGGTAAGTTAAGCACTCTCCATTTTTCTAATATTAGTATTGTTATTTCCACTTCGAATTTGCCATGTCTAAACTAGTGAATATATTCTATTGATGGCTCAAGATATATTGGGTTGTTTTGAAAACTGTATCTTATGGTAATGTCACAAGAAGCATATTAGTGAAGAGGTTAAATTTTACTCTTGTGGGTGTAAGATTTTGACCTAAACAATTTCGAACATAGATGAAGCATTAAAGCTTGGTTTGTTGTCTATAATTTCCGAAATTATGGTCGCTGATCAAAATCGTTGAAATAATGTGGCGCTGCAGTACAAAAGGCTGCAATCATAATTAATATTACCACAATGGCTGCGGGCTTGTTTGGGTACATGCCCAATTAGGCGGAAACCTTGTCTGGGAAAATATTGTTGGTGCAGCTGGAGACGGTATCTAATACTGTAGGCATTTAAATATGTAATATAAATATTTATGAATTTTTGTTAAAAGTGGAACTTTCCGAAAAAAACGCTCGGGGGGTTAACAAACATACTTTTTATACGATTTGCGTTCTTGAGATTCATTGAATCTCTTTCTGATTGAATGTAATTTCAATGTCAGGTCATTTCATACTCCGGTATGCAGCAGTCTTGTTTCCCTAGGTCATGGCTTGCTTCGCTGAATGAGGAAAGGATTTTGTATTTGTAGCGCAATGATTCCTGGTGCTTAAAGCAAACTCGACCTAATCCTAATGGTAGATAAGACTTTATCCTACTGATTTTCATGTGTCAATCTAGCCCGTCACTCTTTTGACTTTGCGAGTTTTGCTTTTCATCACATCAGTTTAATGGCTTTAAAAAAGAAACGTTCAAATATCTACAGAACCACTGCTCTTAATAGACCGAGAACCCCTTTTTTTTAGAACAGACATTCTTCCAAATTATATGAATAAGTCTATTTCACGCTGCTTTATTGTTTTCACTCCTAATTGTTTTATCACCACTATTTCTAGCGGTTTGAGTTAGCTTTAATTTATTTTCTTTTTAATTATATTTATTCCAAGAAAATTTGGAAAAGAAAATGTATCAATCGTCTTAATATATCAACAAGGAAAAGCTCTGCACCTTTACCAAAACCATCAGAGAACACACGCAGCTCGAAGAATCCTTTTTCAAATTGTATACAATTAAAGACAATATTTTAGTTAATAATTCTCATTAAGTTTATATTTTCTTCATAATTTCTTAGCTTACAAACTATTAAAGCTCTTATTTTATTTTTTTTAAACAATTTCTAAGTTCTTACAAACTATTAAAGCTATATGTAGAGTTGTTTCTATCAGAAGATACAATAACAATGCAAATAAATGCGATCACAGTCTTAACACACAATCTTTGTTTCTAAAGTTGCCTTGATTTAAAGCTCTCAGTTGTTCTGGTAACGCCCCAACACCGAATAATTGCACGGCTTAGCGAACGCTTACAGCCATGGTCGCCAGGTGGCGCACTCGGTGGCGGCTACTGGTGCTGGTGATGACATTGGGCTATCATGCTCGCAATCACTGTGATAACCCGATGAGGCACGACTCGATGGACGAGCTAATTTTTCACTCAACTTCTCCTCAACATCTACAACGATTGCTTGCTGTTGTTGTAATAGCCGATTGAACTCGCTACCCAAATGTGTCATCACTGATTTGCCCACATTGACGCTCATGCCCGGCATAGCGGCCATAACGCGCGAAACTTCATTGACGGCATTCATATAACCATTGCGGAAGCTATCCATCGGTGCAAGTGGCGCCACAGCGGGCATCGCTGAACGGCGTTGGCTATGTTGACGCATAAAAGCAATTGTCGACTCAAGCATTTCGGCTTTGTCCATACGCAGTATGGCATCATCACCTTGGAACTCGGCTACCAGTGTCTTCAGTGTATCGAGGCACTTGTTGATGCGGGCACGACGTTGACGTTCCAACAGTGGTTTCTTCACTTTCAAGTACAGCTCCGTTTTGGTAGCGTAGAATTGTGATTGTTGTTGTAGTGATTTTGTGTTCGGCGACATGCTGTTGCTGTTGTTGTTGTTTGTTCGTTTGCTGGTATTACTTTACGTGTCTTGGTTTCACGTCTCGACTGTGCGTACACTTTGTGTTGAATGCACTCAGTAAGAAGGATGCGATGTGAATGATGTTGAGTCTCTGACTGGTGCGCCTTTTATACTTGCAGAGCTCGACGATCGCCGTTCGGTTGACAGGAGAACAACCCCTAACCGAGTGTGCAACATTTGCTGCAACGGATGCAAGTACAAACGCTTGTGCGTGTGTCTGTCTTTTAATGCTTGTCTGATTGTATGTGCCCGACGGCATGCTATACGCATTAACGTAATGTTGGTTTTGCTGTTGCTATACGTGCTTCGATGTATATGCCAGGAGTGTGACTTGCATGCCGTCTTGTCTTCTCTATTCCTGTAGGAATTTCAAATTGGAAGCGTCACATCAAATGCTGTTGGTGCATGAGTTGTGTATTTGTTGTTGTACAACAACAGCAGTAGCAAGTGGGAGGCCTAAGTGCTTGGTAGACGTGGGGGAGAATATAATTACAATTGGTTACTACTTATGCAATTAAGATATGCAGTTATATTTATATATATACAATACTTATATACATATGTATATCTTTGAGGTTAGTTCTAGTTAGAGCTCGTTAACTGAACCATGTCCCAATGGCGCAGTTGGGAGTCTACTGGCTGCAGACATTTTTCCTGGTCACGTGTCATCCTTCGCTTGTGGCTCGTCATCTCCTTCAACCAAAATTGTGTTGCAGATTTAAGTCACCTACTTTTGATATCTTTCTGTCGACCCAGTTCCATTGTAATTCTTATAGAAAGTTGCACAGGTCTTCAAAGTTTTCATTAAGCTCTCATTATGTTTATGTTTTATTTTTTAGTCTCACAGCACGAGTACTTCATGGCTTGTGAAAGATTGACTTTCAGACCATTTACTACCAGCCAGTTATTAGCATAGACCTCTAAACTTTTGAAACCTCCAAAGGATGTGCGGGTTATAACTCAATACTGCTGAACCCGTTGTTATCCAAGTCCACACCATTTATTTTGGAAGAGTATTAAGTTCAGAAGCCAAAAATCAGTTAGGTATTACCTTTTTGCCTATCAAACTCTTGCATTCATCAAGAAATAGAAGGCCATTAGGCCTCTTAAGTCGTTAATGGACGGATGCGATGGTTTCATCAAATCAACGTTCATGTTGCAAATTGGTTGGTTAGCCTATTTAGAGATACAAAATTTATATTTTCCAGCGACTGTTTTCAGACAGTTTTGAAGGTTGAAAGAAAAACAGTGGTAAAATTTTATTGCTAAGCCATGTACATTCAGCTGAAGACCTTCCGCCAACCAGTCGACTCGGCTCTATCGGTTGGTTGGAAAATGTTCTAGAGTTTTGATGCCTCTTATACTGGTAACTCACTTATATCTTTGGTAATGTACGACAAGGGACGATTTTTTGACATTGCCCTTTCTTTTTTACGTAAATTAAAGTCACTTCAAGAACCATTTGAACCTCATCTTCTTCCATGTAGAACTGCCTTAGCTTCTGTTAACCTTGCAGTTGAGTGCTGACTGCTGTATTATACAAGGAGATGGTACGGAAATTCCCTGTATCGTCTTCCGACCAACATGACCAACTTGGAATGGTGCAGTGTGGATGTAGCTGGCTCCAACAAACGTTTCGGACCAAGAATTGTGATAAGACAGATCCTTTATTATCCACATTTTTATTTTTCTGCACTTTAGCTCAACTAATTGTCTTCCTATTGGAGTCTGTACATGTAATCATAAGGTTCGGTACTCTCTGCCTGGATATGCTGCACTTGAAGAGGTGTCTTAAGTGGGAGTAGAAAGAAAAATTGAATTAAATAGAGAGTTATTGGGTGTAAAAATACACCGAAGTAGAGTTGTCACCTTAAAGTGACCAACAGCCGTTCTCTTATGAGCGTTTAAAGTATATCTACGGTTCTTTAGCATTTCTTAATAAGTTTAAGCTTCACTCTTGCCAGAAAAGATCACGGACTTCCAGAGATGAGTTGAGATTATTCTCATTCTACAGCACCATTCGGCTTCTCACGCAGTCAACAATGAACCACAACTATTTGGAGGCCTATAGATTAAATCTGCTTACTCATTCAAGCCAAACTTTTAATTAAATACTTATCATATATGTATATTTTAAAAATTCATTTACCGGCAATCAAAAGTAATCAATTGTACATAGCAATGTCACTACAGTCTACTCACATCAACTGCCCACACAGCGCACCCGAAGCAAGCGCCCACTAAGCACGCATGCGCCAAAGGAAAAGCAAACAAGCATACATATATGCAAGTGTGCGCATAACTCACTTCTTGGCGAATTGTACGTATGTATATATGTTGAAGCGCGCCACATGAAGCGTGCCGATCGTCAAGCGCATGTGCCAAGCATCCATTAAACTGGCTGGCTGGCGGCTGGCAGCTTACAAAAGCGCGCGTGTGCCACACAAAGCAAACGTTCACGCTCGCTGCTATGCGGCCACTCAGCCCAGCAACGCCAAACAGTTAAGCCATCAAGTTGTTGCCAGTGGAGTCTGTAGAAATCACTGCAGTTTTGTGGCTAAATTGAATTGCCAGCAGCCAACATGACCGCAAGTCGGCAGGCAAGGCATGTCGGCAAGAGCCGCCCCATTGACGATGCGGCAGCCCAGTTTGTTGGCAGTTTTTTTTTTTGTGCTCTTGCAGCATATATTTGCCATAAGTTGCAACGCCGTAAAGAACGCTATACATACATGCATATAAGCAAAAGAGTTTCTGTATATGTATATATATATTCGTGTACATATATACATATATATATATATATACATTAGGCATCTATGTAAGTAGTTTGTGGTCAACGAAACTCCAGCGTTGCTGAATCACCCACTTTTAAATTGGCCTCTTGGTGTTTAAAGCTCTGAGGGGCCAAGGAAGTTGCTCACTCGAGGTACAGCAACAACTTTGGAGTGTGTAAAGTCAGCGAGAGTTGTTGTTAATCAAGAGTTGTTGTGATTGTTGTTATTAACATTGTTGTTGTTGGTGTTGTACAACGAGAGTTGTGGTTATGGTTAATGTTATTGTTGTAATCAACTTTGTTGTGGTTGTTGGTGTTGTTCACCGACAGTTGTTGTGATTATTATTGTTATTGTTGTTGTTGCTGCTACCCAGAAATCCAATATATGCAGCCACGCATGCACAGCCAGCTCCAACAGCGGTGACGTGCCTCAAGTATGAAACTGCAACAACAACAACAACAGCAATTATAAACAACAGTCATACGGACACACGTACACATACATACAGCCAATGTACTCGTTTACGATAACAACAGCCCCAAACAAACGCAACACACCAAATGCCTTCAGAAAGAAAGACAACGTTAAAGGAAACGGCAATAAGAGCCAAGCACTATAGATATGTATGTATGTATGTATGCATGTTCGTAAGTAAGACTCTAAGGTAGAAAAAAATAGGCAGGTGTTCACCTCGCGTGGGAAACACACGACAAAATCGGTTCTCACGATTCGAAAATCCGGCACATAAACACACGCACACGCACACACACACACACACAGCTGCACGTGCAGAGTTACAGCAGCGCATACAGAGTAGTTATAATGATTGAGGGAGCGGTGCATAGGCGGGGTGATGCGGGGGGTGCGGTGTGTGCATGGCTGGTTGTGGCTGGCATACCTGCACACAAAGGCACCATCAGAGTATGAACAACAACAATAGCAAAAACCAACAGCAATAAACTCGTATTTATTGTACAACAACAACAGCAATCGTACATTGTGCCGTCGTCACACCAACTGACGCTAGCTGATATTCGAGCATATATTGTTGTAGTTGTTGTTGTCTGCTACAGCGTTGTTGTACATGCATTGGCATTTTATGCCGTTTGGCTGTGCGTTTGCGCCTTTGGCCGCATTTGTTATGCATCAGCTACATTATAAGGTGCTTATCAATGTTATTAAAGCGGTGTTGTTGCTGTTGTTAGTAGTTGTTGTTGGCTTTCGCACGTCACAGCGGCAGCTAGTCAGCTGAAGTGGCCGAAGTAGCGTATGACCCAAGAGGCGTTAAATGGCGAACGCTTTACTTATTTGTTTTTGTTGTTGCCATTTTTGTATTCTTTTTGGTTTTTATTGTGAATTATTTTAACTTTCATAAGGCTTGTTGCGGGCGCGTGTTAACCACAAGCGCTACTGGGAGGCTCATGAATACACACGCTCACACATGCAAACAAACACACAGCAAGCAAAGAAGTTGAATAAGTTGAGTGCTGTCGTGCTTGTGGGCGGCGGCAGTGGGGATAAGCTCTGATTGGGTGGCTGGCTGGCTGGCTGACTGGTTGGCTTCGCGCGTGCTCGTTGTTGCTTGAAGTTTGCATTGGCAGTCGCGCTTGTCGCGCTTGTCTCGTTTGTATTTTGATTTTATTGAAGGACATTTATTGCATGTGCCTTTGTTGTTGTGTCGGCAATTGCGTCGCTACCGTATTTTGTTGTAATGGTGCGGTGCTTGTAATGGAGTTGTTTACGTTTGGCTGCATGTCGTCGTTTGTTGTTGCTGGTTCATTTGTCCACTGACATGTTGCACAAATTGATGTACAAGTTGATGTGCGTAGCTAGCTAGATGATCTCAATGTGCTTTTAAGCCTGCGAGGCTCTACTAGATCTAGATACTTACAAAGCTGGTTAAGGCAATTTATTAGGTTTCTGGCATATTAATGATCAACACTTTTTACATGATACTTAGTGCGGACTAAGAATTTGTTGAGGTCTCCATAATTTCACGAGGCATACAAACAAATTGCTAAATGAGCATGAAGCTTTATAGAGTGGTCAAACACCAGTTAGTTGAACATTGCCAATCAAATCTGAAACATTCACAAAAGTAGGGCGTTCTAAGAGGTAGGGTTATGAGAGAGATTGATTTTTGACTAAATTTGTTCTATAAACTCGCCGTTAGATACTGTAGAAATGTGGAAGATAACTTACACTAAACGTTTTCCATTTAGAGATCTTAAAGATCTTTGGATAGACAAGAAAAAAACGTTAACTTCTGTTGCATCGAAGCTATAATATACTTCCAAGGTGCATTTCTTATAGCAACTATATGTAAAATTAAAACTGTAAACGTGATTGTCCAAAGGTTTGCATCCAACAAAAAACGTTTTGCTAGTCATTTCTAGCCACGTTGATTGATATAAACCACCTTAAAGTCGAACTAAGGCTGCTTAATAAGGAAAACAGTCTTTTATGAAGATCTTTATCTTAATTTTCATCGATCAGTTTGCATAACAGCTATATGCAATAGCAGTTTCTACTGAATACCAT